CGTAAAAATCTGAATGAGCAGGGATGAGAGACAATAAGGCAGGTTTAGAAGGGCTGTCCTTGATGTAATTGAGGAAGTTAGTCGGTTCAGTCTCTGAGGGGGGTGTAACACTAGAAGGCTTAACTGTCGAAGTTGAACATAGGTTCTTTGAAAAGTTTATGTCTTTGACCCTTGCATATGGAACAGTCTTAACTGATGTTGGTAGAACCCAGTATGCCTTTTTGTCGGTCACTGTCAGCGAATCCCTTCGTTTACATCCCGCTTCAATGGCCCATAGCAACGAAACAACATGGGAGCAGCTCTCTCCAAGACCAGCCATGCAATCACAATGAGCAGACAGAACTTTGCCCGAGTTTTCCCACACGACCCAAGGGGTCAGAGGCTTTTCTGACATTCTTTGAGAATGATTAACCTAAAAAAATAAAACGTAGTAGTTACTATACTGTAAAGAATCAACGGCGCGAGAACAGCTTGATCCATCATTTACGAGTGTAAACACTCTTTAACGAGACGTTATGAAAACTTACCTTTGCTATTAACAGGCGATTTTCGCCGAATTTCTTGCACAGAACTTCCCTTACCCAGCCGTTCGCAAAGTTCTGATAGCAGTCTAAGCTTTTATAGCTCATCAATTGCTCCTGGGTGTACGGGCTAGCAGCAAACAGAAGATACATCCCCACGTTTATGTAAGTTAAGTCTGGCCAGCAATCGACATCGTCAATCCACTCTTTGCGCGGAATTTCGTACGGATCTTGTCCTTCGATAGACTTTAACTTTTCGAGATACCTTTCCTTTGATTCTTTCTGCTGTACACTCTCAAAATAACCAGGTAACAACCCACGCTTCGTAGTCGCTTTCGCCGCCATGTTGTAAACAAACTGAAGCTTGTCCTCCAGTTCGCAATGTCACGTGATGTGACGTCACGCTTGAAATGGGTCTATAGACTGATTTAGCATGAAGACGCGGCCTTCGTTTAGGACGTCGAGCTCGGTAAAAGGGCTTGGTACCGAGTGAAATTCCCGCGTCCTGAGGTTCTGGCGTCGCGTTGTGGACGTGAAACCAAGCAGTTTGCCGTCTTGTCGAGAACGTAAACTTCAACTCGTCTCAACGATGGAAAGTGCACCGAAAAAGTTAGTAAATTAATTGATTTGTGTGGCAAACAAAATTTTTGAAGTCTCTTAAGTATAAATTCGTCCCTTTTTGTTAGAGTTGTGATGAGCTGGATGGAAGAAAAGGATGTTTTACTCATGAGAGAAATGGCCGCTCAAGGGATTTTTCA